CGTGAGGCGTAGGCAATCACTCTCCCATTCTGCATCAACACACAACCTAATCCCTTCTTGGACGCATCGCTGTATACCTCAAAACCTCCCGTTCCCGATGGCAGAATTAAAACTGGTGCAGACGTGAGCCTCTCCTTCAACTCCCGGAATGCTAACTCACAAGCTTGATCCCAAACGAAAGGCACTTCTTTTCTTAACAACTTAGTCAACGGTCGAGCCACCTTGGCAAAATCCAAAACAAACCTCCGATAATAACCTGCTAACCCAAGAAAACTTCTTACTTCCGACACCGATGAGGGTGCAGCCCATTGCTTTACTGCTCGTATCTTGTCTGGATCCATAGAAATCCCTCTACTATCAATCACATGGCCTAGAAACGTCACACTGTCTTTCCAAAACTCGCACTTAGAAAACTTGGCATACAATTGCTTTTCCCGCAAGATTTGAAGTACCGTCCGAAGGTGTCCAACATGTTCCTCCATATCTTTTGAATAAACCAAGATATCGTCGATGAACACGATCACAAAATCATCAAGGTGAGATTTGAATACTCTGTTCATCAGGTCCATGAAAACGGCAGGGGCATTAGTCAAACCGAAAGGCATAACCGTAAACTCGTAATGACCGTACCGAGTCCGAAATGCAGTCTTAGGGATATCCTTGTCTGCTACTCTTATCTGATGGTACCCTGACCTCAAGTCAACTTTGGAGAACACTCCCGCGCCACGTAGTTGATCAAACAAGTTATCTATTCTTGGAAGAGGGTATTTATTCTTAATGGTAACTTGATTCAGCTCCCGATAGTCGATACACAACCTCATACTCCCGTCCTTCTTCTTTACAAACAACACCGGAGCTCCCCAAGGCGATGCACTTGGCCGGATATAACCCTTGTCAAGGAGTTCTTGCAACTGAGCCTTCAATTCTTGCATTTATGGCGTAGCCAAACGATATGGGGCTTTAGAGATGGGTGCAGTTCCCGGCACGAGATCCACTGAAAACTCCACTTCCCTAGTAGGCGGCATACCCGGTATTTCTTCGGGAAAAACATCAAGAAATTCACGGACTACAGGTATCGTATGAGCCACTTCCTCCTTTGCCTCCAAGTTCTCGACGGAACACAAGTACACATCATTGCCCTTGTCCATGTACCTCTTCATCTTTACCATAGACACCAACTTAATTCCGGGTTCTTCCATCTTTCCACGGTATGACACTCTCTTCCCGCTGGGTCCTCGTAGCACTATCTTCTGATCTTTGCACAAGATTTGGGCTCTTAACCGCCCCAACCAGTCCATACCTAGGACCACATCCATCCCGTCCAAGTCGTACTGGATTAGATCGCTCGGAAACTCTTCTCCTTTGATACAAATCTTGATGCCCTCAAAAAGACGGTCACACACCCTAACTTCTCCTGACGCTACCTTCACATTAAACCTCACTCCCGCGCCCCCAGATAAGCCCAACTTCTTCACGAGGCCGGGTGATATAAACGAGTTTGATGCCCCTGAATCAAACAAGACTGTTGCTGGCATAGATTGCACGAGGAAGGTTCCCACTACTACGTCACTGTCACTTGTTCGGACTTCATTTAAGGTGAGCACCCTCTCTTGAGATGACCCTACCGTCGGATGATGAACCTCTATCCCTCCATACTCTCTTACATCACGGAGTACCGACACAGAAGCTGCACTAGAACTTACTCTTGTGGACGTACCACTCCGGATCCACCGTTCAACTACCCCAGAAGCATTGCTAGATTCGGCCAACCGAGATCTCTTAACCACTTCACTCACATCTTCAAACACTGCGATTCGCTGGCGAGGAGGCATCACAGACTTCTGCTACAACAACAAGGTTACCAAAAGAGCAAGCAAGACAGAAAGCAACACACATCTCACCGCGCAACCTAGAGTCCTAAGCCTAACACGTAGCTCCTTAAGGTCGCTTAGAGGTCTCAAAACACACTTAAACACTTAGAAAGTCTAGACTCAACTCTTCCTAGGCTCTAAACCAAGGTTCAAACCTAGGCTCTGATACCAACTGTAACACCCCGTTTTGGATTCCTTTTATCCAGTTATCTTTCTATCTTCCGCTGTGCTAGTTTTGTGCTTGATCTGCAGGTGTTAAGACTCGTTTTAAGTAGTCTTGTTTTTGGGGGGGTGTTACACTGAATAACTAGAAGTTGTTAGTCAACCAAACTCTGTGTCTAATATAATCCTGGATTGATGGGATACAGGATGATTAATGTTAGCACATTCAGTTACGGTACTCAGACTGCTCAGTAGACACCAATACACCATCTAGGGTTCTGAGTCAGGTCTGAGGCAAAACATGGCTAACGGTCTACTGTTAAGAGGCAACACAACAGGAACATCAATCACTACTGGAAATTTGCCATTTTCCGACCATTTTTGGTGGTCGGAAATGGCCTTAATTAGGTCGGAAACGCTTGTTCCGACCTCTTTTTCGACCAATTTGAGTATCCGGAAAAATCCCCCTAGCTATTTCCAACCACCAGAGAAAGTGGTCGGAAAGAGTAACCACTTTTCTAAGGCCGTCGGAAAAAATGGCCAAAAGAATAGTTATGCGAATCCAGATTTTCCGACCACCAGTGGTCGAAAATTTCGACCACTTTGGTGGTCGGAAAACTGGACCCAGTCAATAAAAAAAAATTCATTTCACTACAGAGGAATTCTCTGTAATGAAATGAATATATATATGTATATATATATATATATATATATATATATATATATATATATATATGTATATATATATATATATATATATATATATATATATATATATATATATATATATATATATATATATATATATATATATTGTTGCAAGCCGGTAAGATATTTGCTGAAAAACATAAAATACACATTTCATATGCTTGAAGAGAATTCATTCATCGATATACAATTGAAAATTTAAAACAAGTCAAAATATGGCATTTCTATTAGGCTCTTAATTCTAAATGTATAAACAGGAAAGACACAAGTTGCAAGGACACATTTTCATTATGGAAGCAGCCTGTTCCATCAGCAGTGTTTCCATTGTCCTTCTGCAGATTTTAGGCATTTTCACTATTAGGCAGCTGATAGAAGCAGAAATATATAAACAAGCTAGCTTTATCATGTTTCATCTCAGATTTTGAATTGCAGTCTATTTTTAAATATCTAACCAGGGATGGTTAGAGCTCTCTTAAATGGAGTAATGCAATTCAACACCATTGCCTCATTTGTTAAACGCATGAAATCAACCATTAACCAACTCATTCAGACATAACAAAGTTTTAGCCTTTACCTAAATTCAAAAATACTAATTCAGGAGAATAAATTAATAAATTGTTAACTATTGGTCTATTGTTAAGTGTTACTACAAATGCGTTATAAGCATCTATATAAAGTTCTAAACCATAAATGGATAATAACTATTAAAGTCTTGGACAACAAAAGCTCCAAATAAAAAGACTATTATCAAGGTCAAATGAAAGCAATTTCTGAAGTATAAACAAAAGGCAATTGTAGCTAAAACCTTGGATATGGTAAGCTAAATACTCTCCTATTACTAATGAGATTTATTCAAAACTCATATACCACAGAGTAATAGGTTACCTTAGTCAAGCCTTTGATTGATTCAGCTGTCTCTTCAGATAAGAACCTCTTCAAGACATTATATACAAAGCTGTCAAAGATTATAAACACTGGTTCTGCATACAATCCTTCAATGCACTGTTAATGTGAGTTAGCCTTCCATTTGCAGCTTCTCTCTGCTTTATAGATTCTTCTAACTCTTCCTTCAAACACATAATTTCAGCCTCCGCTTTCTTGTGAGCTAAATTTTGCATCAATTAACAAATTGCACAAAAGTTAGTTGGAAGGACTTTGCAGAAACGGGAAAAAATTTGAAAGAATCATCAATACAACATGAATAAACAAAGAAATGCAACTATCACCTGCAATGGCTTCTTCCGCCATTTTTGTGAACTTTGTGACTAATTCATCTTTAGCGTTGCACTCACCGATTCCTCCAGAACTTTTTCCTTTTCATTCTGAAGGATCTGAACCTGCACCCAAAATTACAACAAAGCTTCCTTCAATCTAAGACAAATATCATGTCTTAAGAAGTGACATTTAAGAGTATCAACAAATCAAATCATAATCAACTAGCTATGAGGTTTTGGATACAATTTCATGTCAAATGTCAAAAGGCCAACAACATTTTACACAGCTAGGCTCGAGTACGGTAAAAACATGATATGTATACTACCTCGTAATCGTTGTCATTAATGGAAAGATCAGCTTTGTCATTTGCAATTATTCTTCTCTCTGAGGATTTTTTTCTCCACAGCCAATTCTTCTAGTCCATGGTCTACTGTTTGCTGTAAAATATCAAAATCGGGGTTGTCGGTGGTCACTCCAATGATTCAATGAAAATGTCAAGGTCTCAAATATCCAAATCATAGCTTATTAAGTCAAGTTTACCCACACTTCTGCTAGGACATCCACTTCTTGGACAAGACTGGTTATGCTTCTGACTTATCAGACATCATTACATTATAGTCCTATTCTAATAATGTAGCAATCACAAAAAAGGTACTTCCTACATTATAGTCCTATTATAACCAACCCTGTTTTACTTGATTAGTTACCTGCTAAGTGTTCTTGATCTTAATCATTCTTGAGTAAAAAGGCGAAAGATTCAATTTCCCAGTATCAAACATAAGTTTAGGATAATACATTAATCATGCAATAACAAAAGATTAAGGTTACTTAAGTTTAGGATAATATAATCCAATGATCATGCAAGAACAGAAGATCAAGGGTTACTTTAGGGAAAAAAATTGTTAGCGTCATGTGTTAAATCAATTAGAAAAAGAGATCTATATGTTCCAATCTGATAAAAGCAGTGCCTAAAGCATATCTTAAAGTCAATAATTTGTCATGCATAAAACTGTATATGAAGTGCTAAAGTAGCAAAGATTCAGAATCGATATATTAGCATATGTAAATGGCACCTCTTAGCAATCAAGGCATCATTGTTGTACATAGAGCTCCGAGAATGAACACGTGACAGCATATCCAAACTAATTGTAGGATAATGTGTAAGAAGAGCTGCTTTGCAGATTCACCCACTAAATCAGTAAGAGCTGCTTCAATGTTCATGTGCACATCCTATCTGTCAGTCCTCCACAAGAACTTGCCTGCTTCAATCTGCCTTTCTATCTCATCTAGACCTTTTAGAATTGTATCCCTGTCATTTTCGCTAATCAATCCCTACGATACACCAAAACAATGTGCACATTTGAATACTACTCTTTCACATTTCACTTGTTAAGGAAATAGAAGTCATGAACTAATATAAATTCGGTCCTCTTTATGTTTGTGTCATAAACTAAAACCAAATGTGGTAACGATAGAACACCACAAATTTGCAATTTCTTAATAGCTAGGCCAGCAAAGCAAGATATAATGAGAATAAGAAGAAAGCATTAACATTTTATAATGAACATATTCAAAACCAAATGATGACTTTTACACATAAAAGAAAAAGGTTATAGCTTGGTCAGCAAAGTAAGACAAAACATATAGAGGAAGAGAGCATTTAAATTTCACATGAATAGATTTGAAACCAAATCAGGATAGAGTGTAGATGACTTGTATAACCATCCAGCAGATGTAACCACATACACAGCCAATTATAGTCTAATTATAATATCACCAAACCAACCAAAATTTTCCTACTTCATCATTGGCAACTAAAAAGATTATAATTAATAGCAAAACCTTAGAGAGTTTTTAAAAATATAGTTAAATATAATCATTCCAATAAATCATATTGAACAATTCACAGAACTAGAAAAACCAAGTAACCATACCTCCCAAAGATATATAATATATATTATATATTATAACATATAATACCACATATTTATACAGAAATAAGTAAAAAAAAAAATATTTAACATTTGCATTTCTATTATATAGAGAGAGGAGCCAACTCAAGTGCAAACCATTCCTAAAGTATAAACTACAAACACATCATAACTGTTAAAAGTAAAATTCACTCTAGAACATATTCATCATCTACATTTTTATAGCATATATATCATGCTCATCTTTTTATAGCAAAATGTATGTATCAATACAAGTAGAAAGTCATACATACTGTTTTCTGGATTCTCTATCGTAGATAGCCTGCCTGAATGCTTGATAGATTTAGAAGCTAAGAAGATACTTTCCCCAATTCGAAGTGAAGGCCAATGCCCTAATTATTCTGAATCAGATTTGGAGCTTCGTTCTTTTATATCTCTCTGATTATATTAAAAATAACTAAAAACTATAGATTATATATAAACAAAGAACCCTAACAATAGATTAACAAATAAAGAATCTTAACCGTTACATCGTCGATCAAGGAGAAGCGCTAAGGAGGAGAAGGCGTCGTCGATGGAGGAGAAGGCATCGTCGATGGAGGAGAAGAGCAAGGGAGGAGGTGTCGTCCTTCGATGAAAAGAACTGGAGAGGAGAAGGTTTAAATCTGTGATTGAGGAGAAGAGGTAAGGAGGAGAATGATTGAATTGAAATAAGCGTTTGAGGGGAAGAGGTAGGGAGGAAAAGGTTTAAATCTGCGATTAAGGAGAAGATCTTTAGATCTAGCTGAGAAAAAGAGTTAGGAAAAATAGATATAATAGATATTTATACATTGGGCAGCTGCGCAAAGGGCCAAGTGTTTTTTTAGGCCTGTTTGCGATTTTTAAAAAAATTATTCCGACCACCGTATTTGGTGGTCGGAAAATGAGATTAATTTAAATATTTAGCGAAATTGTTCCGGTCACAATATAAAAAGTGATTGAAATTACCGACCACTTCGTAACTGTGGTCGGAAATTCCGACCAATTTCCGACAACGCTACCACCCGGACGAAAAAACGAAAAAAAGTCAATTTTTGCGATCAAATTTTAGGTGGTCGAAAAGAGGTCGGAAAAATGATAATTTCCAGCAGTGAATTATGGCTGGAGATACACGGCTATCGCTTCCGCTATCATACGAGGTCAGGTTTCTCGTATACTTTGGTTTATTATAGTTAGACTATTGTATATCTAACATTTGGTATCAGAGTCTTTATCAATATCTGCCTAGTTGATTGTTATTGCCTAAAATCAACATTAATTTCATATACATCAAGTTTTGTATATGCTTTGGTTCACAATTGCATGCATAATTAGTTTTGATATAATTAAGTGTTTTAGCATGTATATTTTGTATGAATTAATTGTGATTGATTTTGGATTGCTGAAATATAATATCGGCATTAAGGGAATATAGTTTCTTCCTTTTTCTAACCTACTACTTGAGTTATTATTGGGCTTAAGAACCAAGTTGCAGACCACGACTATGAAATGTTCAGATGATTCAATTATGAATCTTGATCTCAAAAACTTCATAGTTTGTTCGATGTTTGGATCAAAACTTCGAAAAGGTGAAATCTTAAGTGGCTACTGTTTGTCGACGCCGCGTCTCCTTTCATGGCAGGCTGCTAGGCTGGTAGGGTTAAAGTTGAACAAGATGAAGATGGTAATGGATAATGCATTGGGCCGGGTCAGGCCCATTTGGGCAGACCTGGTCCAATAATAATTTTTTAAATAAAAAAAATAAAAAATCTGGGCCTATTTGGTTTTATTTGGGTTTGCTTCAGTTTTTTCATTATCATATTTGGACTTTTTCTATCTTAATTGTTCAATTTTAATTTCTCCTTAATTCATTATTAAATTATCATTCAATTTGGGGTAAATATTAAATTTTAATTTGTCGTGTGAATTTTAATTTAATGTTAAGGTGCAAATTGAATTGTGTCAAGTTTTACAATTTATGGTTAATAATATATTTTTTTTAAAGGAAAGGAGGGTGATACCCAATATATTGCAAACAACAAAAATAAGCTAGAGTTATTTACAGGAGACTGTGCCTCCACATAGGAATACCCAGTAGGTCCTCATTAATAACATGCAATATTTCGACAGGGGGCAGAAGTATGAGAAACACACCGCGGCGACGGGAGATAGCCATCTTAGCGAGGGCATCGACTGTGCGGTTCTGTTCACGGGGGATCCAGGCAATTCTCCAGTCTCTAATGGAGGAGAGTTCACGTCTGCAGGCTAGGAAAAGATTATGCGCCCTGGAGGTCTCCATGGTGTTAGATAATATACCATCAACGACGCTTTTGCAATCAGTCTTGAAAATAACATGCTGGATATTTAGAGATTTGACAAGCTGTATTCCTCTTAGTAAGGCCCAAGCTTCTGCCATTAATGGTGAGCATGTACCAATATTGCTAGTGAACCCTTTAATCTAGGCACCAGACTTGTCTCTCGCGACACCTACACAGCCTGCAGAGTTATTTGATGGATCAACGCTGCCATCAACATTCATTTTGATGAAGGGGTCTTGTGGCTTCGACCAAGCAATGGCATTCCAAGCTGGAGCAGTCAGTAAGCCCATAGGGCAGATAGATCTTGCAAAGGCAGAATCAATCTCTTTAAGCTGGCAAGAGATCCCGCTGCATTTCATATTGATGGGGAGCTCATGATTGTTAAAGATTGCGTCGTTCCTCCACCGCCAGATCCACCAAGAGGTAACTGCAAACAGGCTAGCAGAGTTGGAAGGGAATTTATTCTGATTAATAGATCTTATCCCTTGGTCGAACCATTCGAGGAAGGGAAGGGAGCTGGTTGACGCCATAAAGGTTGGATGAAGCCGATTCCAAACCGCCTCTGCCTTAGGACACTTCCTCATCACATGCTCAATATCCTCCAACATATCGGGGCATGTCCAACAATTGTCATCAGAGGTGAAGCCACGTTTGGTTCTGTTGACGTTCGTCATGGCTTTGTTGTGTCTTGCTAACCACAAGAAGGTCCTAATCCGATTCGGTACTCTGAGCTTCCATAAGTCATTCCAAATTGCGTTTGAAGACATTACCGAGTCGCCTGACTTCAAGGCATAAGCAGAGGATACGGAGAAACGTCCAGAGGGTTCCTCACACCATGTCACTTGATCCTGCAGGTTATTCTCAGGGCATATGAGTACAGATGCTATCATATCGATGCTCTCCTCTGGCAGAAAATTGATGAAAGTCTCCCATTTCCAACCGGAAGATTCCTCCCAGTAATCATAGACCGTCAAAGGCCTAACAAGGTCCGAAATTGGACCAATAGCAACTTCACTTAAAGGACAATTTCCAATCCATGTATCAAGCCAGAATCGGGTAAGTCTGCCATCACGGATAAGCTTTCTTGCACCAGCTTGCAAAATGGGGACGCTCTTGAGAATCCCCTTCCAAGCGTTGGACATGTTCCTCTTGGCACGCCATAGCAAGGGAGAATGGCCTGCAGGATACTTACTCCTAACCACCAAAGCCCACAACGAATTGTCACCAGACATGAGCCTCCATTCTAGTTTCGCAAGGAAGGCGGCATTCATATCCTCGAGCCTGCGTATGCCTAAGCCTCCATTGGCCTTACAGCGAGTGACTAAGCTCCAGTTGACCAGATGACATTTCCTAGCCTCACCATTACCCCCCCATAGGAAGCTCCGAATGATAGCTCAATGGTTAATATCACCCCTTTCGGTATGAGTGTAGTCTGCATTGTGTAGAAGGGGATTGCAGAGAGAACCGACTGCACAAGGGCAGTCCTTCCGGCTAAGGTGAGGGACCTCGATTTCCAGCCAGAAAGCCTATCCCGTACTTTGCCAATAATCCCAGCAAACGTGTCTTTCTTGAGTCTTCCATGCAACGAAGGGACCCCTAGATATTTCCCAAGGTCCTGGACAATGGGGATACCCGAGGCATTCGAGACTGCTTTCTGAATTTCGGTTGGCGTATTGCTTGAGAAGTATACAGATGATTTATGAAAGTTGAGACGTTCCCCAGAAGATAGGCAGAATTTTTCCAAGCACTGGATCATGATTGTTGCTTGTTCAACGGAGGCTTCTCCAAAAAGCACCACATCGTCTGCAAACAATAAGTGTGAGAGGATGGGTCCTTGTCTTGCCATCCTGATTCCCTTCCATTGTCCTACAGTCACAACAGATTCAATTAAATGACTAAGCCTTTCCATACAAAGTACAAACAAAAGAGGGGAAATAGGGTCTCCCTGGCGAATGCCACGACCGGGTTTAAACCAGCTTGATCGTTCACCATTCCAAGCAATTGATAATCTTGGGGACCGAACGCAAGACATTATATTATTAATCCAATGAGGGCTGAAGCCAATGTCTTCGGGAGTATCTTGGATAAATTCCCAAGACAAACGGTCATATGCTTTCTCAAAGTCAATTTTCCATATCATCCATCCATCGGAGCCTCTCTTCGTTCTCATGGAGTTTAAGACTTCTTGGTAGATCAAAATGTTATCCGAGATTTGCCTACCTGGTACGAAACTAGCTTGGTAGGGGCCTACTAGCTTTTGGGAGATGTCTCTGAGTCTCGAGGTCAAAGCCTTGGATAGGATCTTGTAGGATACAATGCAAAGGCCAACGGGGCGGAGTTGCTTAACCGTTTCAGGATTGGCGACCTTAGGGATCAATGTGATAACTGTGTCATTGCTTCCTTCTGGCAGGGTACCATTCGCAAAGAATTCTTTAGCAAAGGAAATAATTGAATCCCCGACAATGTGCCATGTCCGTTGATAGAATCCAGCGTTGAAACCGTCCGGTCCGGGAGCCTTGGCTGGAGACATGTCAAAGAGTGCTTGTTTAATCTCCTCCTGGGAGAAAGGTAAATTAACCAACCGCCAATCAGGTTCCTGGATTGGAGGGAAGGAGCCGTGTGGGAGTGTTAGAAGGACTGATGAATCTGCCTTGAATAGATCTTCAAAGTAATGACGGATATGGTCACGGATAGCTGAGTCGTCCTGAATCCAAACTCCTGCATCATCTTTTAGGCTAGTAATCCTGGACATACTGTTTCTCGCAGAGGTTGCTAGGTGGTAAAAGTGGGTGTTGCGGTCACGGAGACAATCCATTCCTCCCTGGATTTCTGGAACCAAAGTAGTTCTTCTTGGTGCAGCGAAATTTCCAGCTCAATCCTAAGCTTTTGGTCTAGCTTCAAGAGGCCCGGTGAAGGGCGATTTGCTAAACAACGTTGAACCCCACCTAAACGAGCCAAAATGCGTTTCTTGTTCTGGGAAATTCTGCCAAAGATTTCTTTATTCCAGTTTGTCAAAACATGGGCTAGATTGGCCTTGTTATCTTCCAGACTTATTGATATATCCCAAGCCTATTGGATGAAAGGCAGAAAGTTTTTGTTAGTAAACCAGGCTAGATTAGACTTAAAATACCTGCATCTGGGGCCACTAGGAGGACTATCCGTTTTGATAAGCAAAGGGAGAATGGTCTGAACCAAACATTGGAAGGTGAGTGATCGAGGCATCGGGAACCTGATTTTCCAATCCGCGGTCTAATCTAGCTGCTTTGAAAGAGACTTGGTTCACACCCCTCATCCAAGTGAATTTAGAGCCTGTGAAGCCTAGGTCCATGAGACCTTCCTGGAAGATCCAGTCCATGAAATCTGCACAACGAGCTTGCTGCCAGTTAGCGGGGTTACTCACCTCCTCCGGGTTCACCGCAGCATTGAAATCTCCTGCTGTTAGCCAAGGGCCGCGGATATTCATGTTATTATGAGTTAAGTCTGAAAAGAGTTTTCTTCTAAGCAACATGGAAGGACTGCCGTACACGGCTGCAAATAGCCAAGGCTCGGCGTGCCCTTCATTCACCTGCATTAAAACAAAATGTGGATGAGTGTGGACAAAATGAACAGAACAAGTGTTATTCCAAAGGACCCAAATTCCGCCGGAAAAACCCACTGCCTCTACTCTTAGCCAGTCGCTGAATCCAAAGCTTGAACGCACCTTATTAGCATGGGTACCTGAAACTTTGGGTTCAAGAAGGCATAAAATAGATGGGGAGAATTCCCGAATAATATGTTTAAGAGAGCGGGAAAAAGACTTGGATGCCGCTCCTTGACAATTCCAAGTGATCAGCTTCATAAAATACAAAGTTTGAGAGAACGAGCGCACTCAGGAGTGCGATGGGAGAGAATCCCCCTGGTCAAGGTGAGCATCAGAGTACTCGGAAACATCCATGGTTGCATCAAGGTGATCAGTCGAGTTCTGAGGGTCGACTGCCTTATCCGGGGGCACATTCAGGAATGTGTCCTCTAGACCAGTCATTATAGTATCGTCTGGTTGCAGGATAGTCGAAGTTGATATGGTTCTCCCTCCGTCATTACTTCGAACAACAACATGTTCAGACTGGGCTGCTGCTTGATTCGAAGGGCCTGGCGAACCTCTTCCACGAGAAGAGGGTCGAGTAGGACGACGGTGGGGGCTTGACATAGAAAGTGTACCTCTCGCATATTGCATTGACACTGGCAAACTGCGAGAGGCCTGTGCTTGCATGAAAGGCTCTCTTGTCCGGACTGGTGCCAACTGCGTGATTCTGGATGAAGAAGGCATCTGGGCAGCGAGAGAAAGATCAGTTGCCTCTTCTTGAAGGTTGGCCAGAGGATTAAAGCGGGACTGTGATGGCACAACCGGATCTTGGGCAGCTTGGACAGCTTGAGCCGGCGGAGGGCGGTGGGGCGTCTCGATTCTTGGATTCTTCCCGCGAGTGGTCTGGCGTTGAGGAATTCTTGGAGCTTTCTTTCGTGTCACCACCATCCAAGGCCCAAAGTCCTTGGATAGATCAGGGCCTTTGGGCAGTTGGATAGGCAGAGATGGTTCTGGTCTAAGTTGTGCCATATTTGTCGACTCCTCTCCACCATCCACTTCGTCCTGGTTTGGGATCGTCTTGCCACATTGCTCCAGCCTGTGGCCGTACATGCCGCAGGCAAAACAAATGAGATGCAAACCTTCATATTCGACTGGTCGGTCCTTCCCTTCGATTGTAAACTTAGAGCGCAGCGGTTTTGAGATGTCAACCTCTACACACACCCGCACAAACTTGCCTTTAGAGACAAGGCTGGTTGTTGAATCCACCTTCACCGGGCGTCCAATCTTCCGGCTAACCTTTCTTAGGATACTTTCATAAAAAAATTCGACTGAGAGAGACGGAAATCGGACCCAGACGAGCAACTTGTTTGTTTTGTCATCAAGAGGATCAAAGTTGGGCTTCCATTCTTGCACAGTAAGATAGTGATCGAAAATCATCCAAGGGCCAGAAAATTTCGCGGCTTCGTAGTCACTCAGCGCCTCAAATCTGGCTATGAAGAAGTCATGTTCCAGCGCGATGAGTTGCATAGGAGCTTCGGGTTTCCAGAGTGATCGAAGGCGCTGGAGTAAGTAGGGATAACTTATCCTACGGCTAAGTAATCTGATGATAAGGGATCGTCGCAACGGGCGTCTGATCCTCTCCCTTTCTGCGTCTAAAATCTCGACTACTGGGGATTCGTCAACCGTAAAGTCTTCATCCGCCACTTCAAAGTCCACGTTTTTCGCTCGAACCGTGTCCTCAAGGTTCGCGTCCAGACTCTTGCCGCCTGGGGAGTAAACGAAGAAGGCGGTGTTCCCCAAGCTTCTGGTTCTTGGGGGTTACCTACTGCATGGTTCAATGACGGTAAGATCGGCCGTGGAGAATTCGAGTTTGCCTGAAACAGGGGAGTCGAATCTAAAGCAGAGGCAGTGCGCTTGTTCTTCTTGGCGTTCCGTAACCGAGGGTCTTGAATTGACGGTGACCGCTGAGCAGCGGCCGGCGGAGAATCTTGGAGAGAAACGTCAACCTCCATTTCTTACATGACATGCCATTCAACAATTTTGGGTAATAATTCTATGGTTAATAATATATTAATATGAAAAATCAAAGCATGCTATGTATATTTATTAAATAATTATTTTTTATTATAATTATACATTCGTAAAAGCATGCATTAAGGTTGGATTTAGCATATTATTAACTCATAAATTCATTATTAATTATCATTCAATTTTAGATCCTTAGGCCAATTTTGGACATTATGGTCTATTAAGGTAGCTTGTTTTGGTTTTCCATTAATTTTGAGCACATTTTAGTGTCTCTGGGACTTTAGAACCTATTTTGAACAAGCTAGTTGAGACCTATTTTGGGTCATTAAAGTATAGATCCCACCATTTTGATTGATATTTTAATAATAATTATAGCTCCTTATAACATGTTTATTAAGTTTTAATTATTACTAACTATCATATTTTGGTATTCATCGTTGGTAATAATATTAAGTTTTTGGTCTATTTCAGTACTTAGACCATTTTTTATCCATGTTATAATTCACTTGGGCCATTGAGGTTTATGAGTCTAATTTGAGTGATTAAGTGCTATAATTATTGTCTTGGCCTGTTTCGAGACATTAAGGATTTAATTCTTATTTTGGCCATTAAGAATTACAAATTATTGTTTAAGTCGATTAAATTTTAATCTTTCAGTAGTTTTCAAGGCCTTAATAATAATATTAAGTCTTTAATTTTATGGCAAAAACAATATAGTTGGTATATTGTCTGCATAATGATAATTTTGTTATTACCTTAACTTCAGTCTCCCTTCAGTCATGATTAATTATTATGTGGTAAATTGAGATTAGTATTTGACATCCCTTAATTACAGTTTTTGCCTTTATTGTAGTTATTATTAATTGGCATTATTAATTACTGTTATTAAGTTTAGGGGCTAGTCCCATTTTATTACCTTTCATAATAATTATTATTTCATGGTAATCTGCTATATTTGGTACATTGGCATGATTACCACTTCATTTTACATGACTATTAATGTTGGTAATTAAGTCCTACCAATAAATTTTTTAAATTTACTATTGGACGCTGCATCGAGGCTACTGACACCGACAGTGAAGATGGGAGAATTCTGGAGTTTTTTCTTCTCCTGTGGATCATCATCGTTGTTAGCGCAATGGGGAGATGCGGTTTGCATCATTAAGGTTAGCCATTAATTATCTTTTATGGTTGTTATTGATAATTTGTGCTACAGTTATAGTTAACCGCTATTTGGACTAGTCACATATTTTATCTTTACAAAAATGGAAACATTTTAAGGCGCATTACCATAATTTGTTTTGTCATTATTACTAATGTTAATAGTGATTATAACGTTACTTATTGCTATTAATAATTAATTAATGATAACATTAATATTGTTATGGTATTCAGTTATGCACCCTGAACTGTTTCCAAATAAATTTATGTGACAATACTCCAGTTCAGAAAATAATTTTCTGGACATTAATATTTTTTGGACTTCAAATTTTATTAAGTTTTTAAAATTTTATCCGAAAACGTTTATAAAGGTTAGCGGCTGTAATCGTTGATTTTCCATATTTAGTCTCCTACATAATGTGATAATATTATTATGGCTATTTATTGCTATTTTGATTATTTGCAATTTTGCTACATAAGTATATATCCAGTATATTATTATTCAAAATGTTGGGTCTCTTTTGGTTTGGACTCATGGGTGTTTGAATATTAAGTTTATACTTTAAAATCTCATATTGTAAATTGCTTTAAGTTATGCAATTTATTTGGAGTATATGAGTTTAATGTTTAATTTTATGCATATTTGTCCTAAGCATAATATTATGTTTTAAATTATGCAATTTTATTATGCCTTTAGCAATGCATACTTGAGATGAAATTATATTAGTTCTTATTTAAGTTGGACTTATGCATAAACTTTAGTTGCAGTAGTGCCTGAAGTTAAGCACGTTTAGCCCGCTAATTTAGTTCACCATTTAAGCTTTAATCATAGGTGAACCATACAGTTTACTGGTGTATACCCTACAGTTTTAGGTTCATACCCCCAAACAGTTATACATTAAGTATATATGAATCGGGGAGACATACTATTTTTAATGGCCATGGCTTAAGAACATCTTGTGCCACTAGTCTCCTTAAATTGATACTCTATTTAAGGAATTGGTTTTCAGTGAGACTGAGTCTCTAACCACCTTTCCTTGGAGTATATTTAGATTTTCCCATCACAATCTGGTATAATCTGTTTGTCAAAATTTTAGGTATTCCTTGCCAATGTGATTTGATTTCGGTTCATTAAAGAATAGCCAAAACATCTTTAATTTACTGAAATATCTTGAGTTTTCAATCTTGGTTAATTAAGAAAATGTTACAGCATATTCAGCTACCTAAGATTGTTAAGTTTCAATCACATAAAGTTTAGGCAAGGAATTGATAATTGTCTAGTGATCTTATAATTTTAATTTGGTTTGGGAGTAGCCACAACATCCTTAATCTGTTAAAATTATATATTAAGCGGTTTATTTTGATCACATAAAGTTTTGGACATATCATTTGTGATTAATTGTATGTAATATAATGGAATTTAGCCCACAGGCAATTTCGTTATATTTGTATAATAATTAATCAGGATGAAATACTGAACTACGGTCATAATTTAGCCCACAGGCAATTATGTATCGGAATGTAGTTTAGTAGTTTTATCAGTGATGATAGAAATAAATTTATTTATTTACTTTATGGTTATTTGTAAATAATTTCCAATTCTATCATGAAGTTTAATTTTATGATGTAAATTTAGGTCATATTTCTTAATTTGCCCATAGGGATTAAGAAAGGAACATGATCTCTTAAGTTTTATCATAATGGTTGTAATGAATCTTATTAAATAAAACTTTAGCCTACAGGCAAGTTTTATGTCATTTGATTCTTCAACTCATTTGATAATGGTTTCATCATAAATAATTTTTCAGTTGGATCTAATT